CATGACTTTAACTCATGAAATGTGATATTCACTATAATCTATCCAGGGTTATTATAGTTAACTAAAACAGAAACTAAAACTAAATCTATTAAAAACATTTTCATTACTTGAAATAAAATAAAATAAATACTATATATATATATATATATATATATATAAATGTCAACTAGTTTCATACATAAACACTAAAACTACTAAAACAATGTTAAAAACACATAAATACTTAACTAAAATTATACTGAAAACAGAAAATATGAACAGATTCAATATATTAATACAAATGATAATAGTATCTCAATGCTGCTAAAATATCGTAATAGTCCTATTCTAAATGATGTCCGAAACTTGTGAGCACTTCTTCTGTTTATGTGTCTCTTTATGATGAACCGCTTGTTATATTCCTCATTTGTAAGTTGTTTTGGATAAAAGAGTCTGCTAAATGAAAAATGTAAATGAATCTGTTCTGTTCTTCATATTATGCTCATAATTGGACAAAGTTCCATCCAAATTAAATTCAGTTAATTTCTAGAGTAGGAGTTAGAAAAGAGTAGTTCATATACACTGAAAAAAGTAAACAATTAAATTAAACGTAATATTTAAATAATCTTTTATTAAGATTCCAATCATCTTTTACTGTCAAACTCTTTATAGAGCATTAAGATGACTACATCATGTAACAGGATGGATGAAGTAATAATATCATTGTATAAGAGACAGTACAACTTGTTTAGGATGAACTTTGAATGTTCTTTAGCGCATTTAAGAGAAGATTCTTACTAAAGCAATTCAAATACGGACCTACATCTGCAAACCCCTAGAAACCCCAAAAGGTTGATGTTCAATGCTCGAGAGTGCTGTAAAATCATCAGAGCGGAGCAGAGCATTGATATTTGACAAAACAACATTCACGCTAATCTTTTCTAATCAGAAAGGTGCCAATCATATAGGGAAAAAAGTCAATCTTCAAACAAGATTTAATTCATTTATCACCATGCAAAGGGTCTTTGAGAAACTGTCTGACAAAAATTGATTTGGTTTCTAATATGGATTGCACAGATCCACTGATAAGTATTCCAATGATGTTCTGGATTAAGGGCCAATCTAGAAAATTACACAGCGGAGAACTAAACTCTAGACAAGAAGGCACTTAACAAAACTTTTTTGTCTCTCAATAATGTTTTTCCTTGCACTTGTCCTTCAGTCAACAGAAATGTGAAATTAATTGGGTATATCTTACTCTGTTAATGTCTTTCAGCAGAAAGAAAGAAAGAAAGAAAGAAAGAAAGAAAGAAAGAACTGGGTCAATTTATCAATCAAATTCCTGATCTAAGCTGAAACTATAAAATTATCCAAGTTATAAGTATGTTTGATAGAATGCCTGATGATTAAAAAAGTAAATAAAAAGATTTAATTACAATTTTTCTTATTATTATTGTGCTCCTTCTTCATAATCACTCCTCTCCCTCTCTTTGTTAGTGCATTTGATGTCAACATTTTCTAATGTCTTTTTAAATAATGACAAAACATGCATTGAGTTTTAGCGTCTCAGGTAAAACCATTCATCTTTAACACAAGAATATGCACAACAATCGTCACGACAGAGAAAAATCACTTGGATGCTTTATGCACTGCACAACTCCAGCTTAATTTTGCACTCGCACAAAAGCTACAGTACTTTATAGGGCAGGTAAAAATGGTTTTCAAAGGACTTTTGTGCAGGTTAATGGAACAATTCGGCAAAACACCAAATGCATCAGTAGTAATGCACGGAACAGCACAGCATTAAAGAACACAGTTACTTTGAATTTCAAACATGCGTCTCATCAATTGAGAGCTCAAAATAGGTGCCTTGTTTTCTTTTGTCACTGCAACTCGTTCAGACCAAATTTCAGCAGAGAAGTCTTTGAAAGCATCGGGTGTTAAATTAAAGGTGAAATTGAAAGGTTTATTTGTTTTTATACCGCATAAAGAAGACCGGGGCTAGTTGTCACACGTCTTACGTCAGTGGATATTTCTCAAGGAGGGTTTGTTTCTGAAAGCCAGTTCCTGTAAAGACACAAACCTTAAAGTATTGATATTAAATATCATTTATGCATTGGATAAAGCCACTGTGAGAACTTTCCTGCATGACAACTAGCCCCGGTCTCCTCCATTCTCTCGTCTGGAGTGGTTTTCAGACTGCCTCTCGAGCTCTCTCTCACCTCAGCGGTCTTTACGCTGTATTGAACCGTTTGTGACAGTGACTGGAGAGGCAGAAATATCACGCGAACCGTGTGTTCACTTAGTGTGTCTGAGCGGAACATCCGTGTCAAGCTGCAGCCTCCGCCACACGCAAACCCTCTCCCTGAGATCAAAAACATGCTATGGCTGGAAACAGGGGAAAACAGTCACGTATCCAGAGGCTGGATAAGGTCACGAGCTCAAAACTGTTTCCTGTCCTCATAGTAAACAAATATGAAAGTGAAAGTGAAAGTGAAGTGAAAGTGAAGTGACATGTGGCCAAGTATGGTGACCCATACTCGGAATTAGTGCTCTGCATTTATCCCATCCAAAGTGCACACACACAGCAGTGAACACAAACACACACCGTGAACACACACCCGGAGCATATAGTAAACAAATATGATATGACAATAAAACAGAAATCAACCATTGACGACGGCAATATTCCACAGCCTGGGCTTTCAATAATGCTACACAGTAATGTTGCGAGTCTGTGGACTGATATTTAAAACATAGTAATTTCTTTGGAAAAAGAAAAAAAAAATCTTCAACAACATCTATTTACTGATCGCAACAAAATGTTGACAGTTATCTAGAGATGTACAACTGTATATGAATCTGAATCAGAGACTTTAAGGTCTCTGATTATATTCTACAAAGAATAGAATAGAATAGAATAGAATACATAGGATGAATTAATAATATATTTGTAATATATTTTAATTTATCATATATTTCATAATAAACGAAATTAATTAAATATTAAATAAAGAATTATTAACAGCAACTAAAACACTTTATGTATTACTTTAACTAATTTAGAGATGTACAACTGTTTGTGAATCTGAATCTGAGACTTTAGTAAACAGAAAATTAATAGAACAGAACAGAACAGAATAGAATAGAATAGAACAGAACAGACGGATTCATAATATTAATTTATAATATATTTGAGATATATTTTAATATATAATATATTGTATTTCATAATAAACTAAAGAAATATGTACAGAAATTAAATAAAGAATTATTGACATCAACTAAAACAATTTATGTATTATTAAACTTATTTATAGAAATATCTATTTTAAGTAAAAGATGAATTTGTTTTGCCAAAGATGTTCATAAATCTGATTCAAAAACAGGATTGAATATAATTATATTATATTATTATTATATATATAATTACATATAAAACATTAAATTAGTAAATATACATATATTCAAAATATATTATTTGTAATATATTATATTTTATAATAAATGAGATTAATTAAATAAGTAAATGTAAATATGTACATAGGATCCTGTCAATATGTTGATAATGAAGGTTTTAGTGTCTATACAAACGTACGAAAAGATAAATGCACATTTTATGAACAAACACCTTCAATTATGCATGGGATTAGCATGCTGACATAATCAGACTGTAAAGCCATTGTTAAATCATCTTAAATGTAAATGTTATTAGTCTAGAGCAGAGGTTATCAACCTTATCCCCACCAGACTATTTCATCCTTTATTTTGGACAGAGCCGGACAAGAGCACACAGGATACTGCCAACTTAACAAGACAACAATGCACAGCGTGTGTGTGTGTGTGTGTGTGTGTGTGTAAAAGAACAACTCAAGCGATGACCTGATGTTAGATATGATGCGCTGTACATCATTAATACATCTAATATATTTCCCGACAGTGCTCTTTTTGGCAACAGAATTCTCAAAAATATAGGATCACTGCTAATAAGTATCACATGTAGTGTGTGATATGATGGTAGACTTCTATCAGCAACCCTAACAAGAATCAGAAACGCTCTCTTTGTGTATGCTATCGCACCGATGAGCCCAGCAGAACTCAGAAAAAGTGACGGCATCATTTCAATCACAATGACAGATCCGAACAGGCGGCGTGTTCCCTCTTTCACAGCAACAGATCAGCCCACACACACTCACATCTAAATGATTATATATGATTTACAAGGACTTTCCATGAGCAGAATCGTTTTGTTGTTGTTGTTTAACGCACACATGCACGTCTCTCTCAAATAAAGTTTTCTTGGCTTTTGCACTGATGCATACAAATTCTTAATCACCAAGTATCACTAAGAAGAGACCGGGGCTAATTGTCACACTTTAAATATTTCTCAAAGAAGGTTTATTTTTGAAAGTCAATATTTTTTAAACATAAAAAGCTATTTACACCATTATTGGGCAGTTTACTGAACACAGATTTACCTTTAGTGATAGCGGGGCACATTGTCACACTATATAGTCACAATGGAAATCTACCTACAGCCTATTATAGGCTTTCCAGTGGAATTCAATCCAAATGATGCAAAACTAGAAAACGTAGTATACGAAAACATTAAACTATTGCAACATTTAAACAACTTGGTACAACCTGCCCCAATTAGATACTTATGAAAAATAGCCTTGTCCTAAAAAGCATAATTCAAATCTATGTTCATTATATAGCTGGCTTTTATCTTAATGTACGTCACTCATGTTTTACTGCATTTATCTAACAGCTGTAACAAAAATATGATGATAAAGGAATATTAGTTTGGAGGACGGAATAAAAACTGTTAAAATTCAAGCCCTTCTGCTAGATAAAACACATTTGATTAACTTCACACTGAAAATCATATAGTTAGCTTGTGACAACTTCCCCCTGTGACAACTAGCCCCGATCTCCCTATATATCACCGTCATCTGAAAGCAAGAAAACAAAATTCCCATCCATATGATGCACATTCACACACACACATCCACACTTACCTTCATTGTTAGACGTTCCTCTGGAGCCCAGGACCTGCATTGATATAGTCCACACTAAGAGGGGCAGCAGCCCTGGATCTGATGCCATCGTGCAAATGTGGACCCGGCGCACGGGGAGAAAGCTCTCTCTCTCTCCCTCTGTCTCTCTCTCGCTCACTCTCCCCTCTCCCTCGTTTACTCCCTCTCTCGTTGTCTGCCAGTGTAGAATCGGAACAGTAGTCTCTATCAGGAACTGCTTTCAAAACTGCCTGCCTGCACTTGGGCACATGCAACACCACCAGGCGCAGCATGGGGGCGTGTCCAGCACTGCCTGTCAAAGAGAGCAGCCAATCAGAAGGCAGGTTTTGGAATATGCACATCCCTAGCTTTACAACCAGCATACCTCTTATCTCTGGCCACATTCCTATGCATATATTAATTGATAAATATATTTTTTAATTTATTTATTTTATTTGTTTAGAAAATTTGATTTCAGATTTTAATAAGAAAAAAATATTTATCTTTTACAGAATTAATTGTCTAATTGTCAATGACAATTGTAATTGTCAAAAAATGTAATGATCAAAAATTATATAAACATAAAAAAAAATGTAAGGAAAATATTCCAATCATATAACAAGAGAACACAAACTGATTTCTGCAGCCTAATGCAGTCGAGTTTCTTCAATCATATTAAATATCTATGATAACAATTAATTTCATTTAATTAATGAATTCATTAAATAAAATTTGGATTACAAAACAAAACATTTCAATTCTGGTTTGGATATAAAAAATATAAATGTAAATTGTGTAATATAAATATATATATATATATATATATATAAATTATATATATATATATCAATTA